TAGTTGAACTTGGGTTCAATCCCAAGTCCCCCCTTCCCCATCCCCCAAAGAAAAATTCTCATTGTTCAAAAGAAAAAAAAAAACGATACATATCAAATGCATTGTGAATGATTTCTAGCTACAGTTAAATTAAGACAAAACCTTAGGTGAAATCCTTGAATTTATTTTAGATTTTTAATTAAGTGTTTAGATTTTTATTAAAATAAATAAACTTTTGAATTTGTTGATCTGGACAATTTAACTATCTTTCTTAAGGTGAATTTAATACCTATTTGTGCTCCACTTATGTAAATAAGGTCAATACCCATCATGTAGGTAATTATATATCAATATTTTTGTCAACACAAACAATGCATAAATGGGTATTAAGTCCACTACTAAAATTCAAGCCTTCAGCAACAATATATCAGCAACATGGGATCCTTTGTTGCTGAAAATTTGTATCAGCAACAAGACTCATGTTGCTGAAAGTTGCATAGTACATTCTTCTTTTAAAAAGTTGTTCTACTTTCAGCAACAAAGAGTATGTTGCTGAAAGTGAATTTCAGCAACATACCTCATATTGTTGATATTTTTCGACAATCATTTCCTCATCTAATTAAACTCCACTTTCAGCAAGATATTCCTTGTTGCTGAAAGTGACTTTTAGCAACAAGAGCTATCTTGCTGAAACTTTTCCAACCATACCTAAAGTATTAGCAACATATACTATGTTGCTGTTATTTTTATTTTTTCACCAACCAAACATCAGCAACATATCTCTTATTGCTGATATTACCACTTTGACTAATAGTTGGTCAAGACCATTATAGATATATACCTTTAAAGAAAGAGTCGAATCTAACTACAAAGATTCGACTCTCCAGTATTCAAGAGTCGACTATATATAGTGAACATTCGACTCCCAAATTCTAGAGAGTTGAGAACATTTTGAGTGCTGTATATAGTCGACTCTCTTTAATGAGAGTCAACTCTTTTTGGAAAAGAGTCTACTCTTATTTGAAAAAAAGTTTAACTCTTAATATAAAAACTATTGACAAAAACTTATGATAACTTTATATAAAATATCTATATAGTCTCATATGCATATTCA